TTACCTTGTACACGTCCCTTATCATCCTCACTTTTTGTCCTGAGAACGGCCGCGCTCACAACCGCTTCCTCCCCTGAGACCTTATGCTACCAACGTGGCTTTTGCCATTAGTCTAGTTAACGGACAACCGATCAAATGCCAAAGGTTATCACCTACTGCATGTCATAACATGTTATTTGTTTGAAAGTCTTGGGATCCACAGGGCTTACTGAGAAGACGGCCAGCTGCAGCTGACAGCCATGGAAGACGAAATGTTCAGCGAGCGGCTCTGCTCTGTACGAGTCAGTCCCGACAGGCTCTGGCAGAAGGTGTGCGCACATCATCACAGTGCATTGGGCTGGCCGCTGCATCCAGGGAAGGCAGCAGTCTTGCTCTAGACTTGTGCAAAGAGCTCCAGGATGGAGGTGTGGATATGCGAGTGTTTAAAGAGGTACGCTGCTCCCAGCACTGCCACGCCATCATGAAATCCCTGCAGAGAACCGGACAGCAGTTCTCACCCCAGGCTGAGACCAGCACTGGCAACTCCCTTCCCCATCCAAACTCCTGCCACAGCCAGCGCCATGGGGAAAGCATGCAGCAGGCTGGGTGTGTCCCACAAGACTGCTAATTGCAGTTTGCAATGAAGAAAGCGTGGACGCCACATACTGTTACAGAGACCAACGATTCCCACTGTAAATCCTGGCTGTATGGAGCAACCAGCTCTGCTGGCCACCCCTCTGGCTTGCCTAGTAAGCCCCTTTCTAGGCTAGAGGCCAAACTCCAGCGAGAGTTAGTCATGCTGTCTAGAGTGACGCTGCCTTCCCCAGGACACCTCTGCATTACTCAGAAGCACCTGCCTCGTCCTACATCAATGCTTCAGTGTTCAAAGGATACGCCGTGCAGGAGCTACGACCAACCAAGAGAGCTGAGACATCTCCCAGCAGGGCCCAGTTTGGTCCAGGGCAGCTACTCCCAGTCCTGCTGGTCACAGCACCGTTTGCCAAGAGCCCCAGCACCGACAGAGCCACTTTCTCCGTCACCAGGTCCATAACAATTGATCCGCAAGATTAACATAACCAATACAGACTGTTGCAGGGGGAACACAGGCTCTGTGCCAAAGCTGCAGGGAAACAACCCTGGGCTCGCACGCATCACCTCCCCAGTCACGCAGCTCTGCGGTGGCCAAGCTGCTGCACAAGGAGAGGAAATAGCAGAGCTTGGTTAAAGCCAGCAGGCACTTCGCCTTGAAGAAAGTCCCTTCCCAGACAGAAAGACCTCGCCCAGACATCCCCGCTCAATGCAACCTGCGGAGTAGTCCAGCCAGGACCCTGCTGGGGTCAAAACACCCTGTCGAATTCAGTCTGGTTGGTGGCGGCCGGGTTCCTGCCTTGGTTAGCCGGCTGCTGGGGCATGTGCCCACCTCTCCTGCGTGGTGGAGCCAGGTACTCGAACATGGATTGGTTGTGGGTAGACAGCATGTTTTTGAGGTCCGAAGGCATAGGGTCTGACCAGAAGAAGTCGTGGTTCAGCGCATCATCACTGTCAATCCGCTGGGCAGGATCCAGCACCAGCAGCTTGTCGATGAGGTCGAGGGCGTAGGGGTCTTTGACGTAGGCTTTCAGGCGATCCTTCACTTTGCGCTTCTGGCCCTTGGGGAGATCCAGCTTCTGGTACAACTCATATTTATCCACGTTTGGCCAAACCTGGGAAGGGGCAGGAAAGGGGGGATTGAGAGGAAATAGTTACGGACAGGTTTTGATGCAAACACCCTCAGGCAATCCAGGGCGAGGTCTGCTGAGAGAACAATACTATTTTATAACCTCCAAGCCAGCAGACCTTGTTCCCACAGCATGAAGGAGGCACTAAAGGGTGCACTAAAGCCTACAGACACGTGGACAAGTCAGGACTTGTGGTGTGGGAATGGCACGCAGGATGCTCCAGGATTTCTGGCTCTCCCACAAAAGAGCTACTAGAGAGCACAGCTCAGGCCCGCTACAACATTCAGAGAGGTAAAGTGACAAAACTTATTGCCAAATAACAACCTGGATGTATGTGGCACCTTTTATGCTTAGAAAGCAAAGCCTGCTGCAATCATCAGCACTTACCTCAACCCTGATCTGAGAGAGACCACAGCAGGTATTTACATACAAAAGAAAGCGCCTTCAATGTATGTACATAATGTATGTAACAGAAGCATCAGGCCTCTGCAGCTGCCTGCACAAGACTCCCCACTAGATTACAGCCCTGGCCAAGAGACCCCTCAGCTCCATCCCCCACAAGAGGGAAGGACAAGCTGCCATTAAATAAGGAGCTGAGAAAGGGCAGAGTGCTCACACCAGTGCTGAACTGATGCCACAAACCACAGGGCAGAACGAAAGAAGCTTTTCAAGGTGACTAGTGCAAAGCACCTGAGACAAACCTCTCAACACAAACCAAAAAAAACCCCACCCTTCTTTAATCAGAAATTCAGAGAGTGTTTATCTGAGAGACAACCCCCAAACACAGGCTAGAACAGATTCCTACCCGTAACGTTCTGTTCTTTCACACTCAGAGCAGCCAGCATCCTCTCTGTGCTCAAAAACACGGACATGACCTGCCCCTCCCAAAGGTCTGGGAGGCCAAGCTCACCCTCTTCTCCTTAGGAGGCTGAACACAAGTAATGTGACAGCTGTAGTTTACACAGAGCAGTGAGGAAAGCGCAGCATCCCACTGTGCACTCAGCTCCCAGAAGGCAAATAGCATTTGCAGGAGGTTCCCCAGCCTCCCTGCCAGCAGCAGGCACACTCCAGTGCTGCGAGCATGCAGCAGCCAGCGCACAGGGCAGGGAAGAGGCCCAGGAGTGCCCAGTTCCACACCCTGCCCACACCACCTCCTCCCACTCTCTGCAGCTCGCCCATACTCTCGCCCTCACCTCTGGTGTGATGGATCCGCAGAGCTGGCTGATGAGGGTGAGCTGGTGCTGCTCCGTGTTCCCCTGCATGATGGGGCTGCGGGTCCACATCTCTGCCATGATGCAGCCTCCACCCCAGAGGTCAATGGGGGGACCGTAGTCCCGTTCACCTAAACGGAGATGCTGTGTTAGTCATCCGGGAGAACAAGAAGTGCAGAGAAGCTGGCAGAGCCCACCACCTCCTACCTAGGAGCAGCTCTGGTGGCCGATACCAGAGAGTCACCACCCGGTTGGTGTAGCGGTTCGGCTGGCTGTTCTTAGCCAGGCTGAAAGCTCGAGCCAGCCCAAAGTCCGCAAGCTTCAGGACTCCATCCCGTGTGATCAGGACATTTGCGGCTTTCATGTCTCGATGCAAGATCTGTACAAAGACAGACATCAAAAGGTTAAGCCATTAAGGTAACCTCCTTGGGCACCTGGTGCCAGCAGGGCACTCAGACTCCAGAGGTGGAAGACAAGGAAGGAATTCCCTCCAGCCTGTGCTAAGACACCCGCTCCTTGGAAAGCCACAGAGAGCATGGTGACCTCAGAGCACAGCACGGATCTGGCCCATTACCTTGTTCCTGTGGATGTAGTAAAGTCCATTCAATAGCATCTGCATAACTTTCTTGATCTCTGAGAGCGTGAACTTGACGTGGGCATTGCTGAGAAGGCCAGCCAGGTCGTGCTCACAGAAGTCAAACACAAGGTAGATGCTGCCCTTGCAGCGGTTGTATGGAGAGGCTACAGGAGAGGCAAGGAGGGACTGTCAGCGAGGGACCTGAAACTCCATCACAGCTCCTCCGGATCTCCAGCCACCCTGCTGCTCATACAACGCTCACTGGACAAAACCTCAGGGCACAGGAACACAGAGAACCAGAGACAGCCTGCAGGCCTCAAGATCCTTCGTAAAGAGGCACTAAGACAGCACAACTAGCAATGGAAGAACAGGGGATGAGCATCGGAGTAGTGAATGTCATCAGACAGACAAGGAAAGGGCATGAAAATCTTTGAAAGCTTCATTTTGTGTTGTTCTGTGCACATAACGGCTGTGGGGTTTCCTCCCTGCAAGCTGTGGCTGGTAGGTGCACATACCACTCGCTGCCAGCCAAGCACTATCACTGATTGCATCAGCGATAGAGGAGGCACCTGCAAAGACAGCCCCAGGAAAAATGCAGAAACAGAGAAAATCTGTCTAATATAACATTAGAAAGTGAGGTTTTCTGCAACCTCAAACAGCATCTACAAAAACGGACTGATCTGGATCAAAGTGATTTAAAACTCCCAACTCCAATTGCAATATAAAGTCAGTAATGGGAAACTTCAAATGAAGCAATCGATTTCAATCTTGTTCCTAGAGCACACATGCAAAACATTATTAAAAAGAAAGGCTGATTTTCATCAGCTGTAATCAGCAGAACCTGCTGATCAGCAACTCCAACCGGAAAATGACTGCTAAGCTCAGCCTCTACAGGAACACAGCACTCCCCTCTGCCTGCTAGACTAGATTTGCAGTTCCTTACACGGATACGGCCTCTACTGTACCTTTCCAACTTAAAACCAGAAAAGCTTAAAGTTTCAGAACAGCAAATGCAACGTTTCTACTTTACTGGAAACTGAGGTCAAGGTAGATTTGGATGAAAACTGGAATTCAAACAAAACACAAACAATTGACATGTCTACAAAAATATTTACCTTAGGTACACCAGACACGCAATCATCACAACCTGTTTAATCACACAATGAATTAAAAGTTAACTTGTCATCGGTGTTTCTACTCGTACCTGTTCAGATAATAACCTACACGCAGTGGAGTACTGGAATAACTTCAAGTTCCCAGTCCTAGACCAGAGATTTCTACCCGTTCAGTGACTGGACTTTTTTTAAAAACACCATCACCAGATACCTGCCACTTTCATTTTTATTTAACTGAACTGACTAGAGAATGGCAGGCTTTAACATCAGCTGTTACTTTCAAAAGTATTTTTCCAGTACAAATCCATATAAGAGAATGATATATAAAAACTAGCAAATGTTTTATAGCAATTTCACTGGAAACAGAGCCAGGCCAGGTGCACTGAACACACCAGTCACGCAGCAGAGGCACGCTGCATGAGGTGGAAGCGAGGAGGTAGAAAAGCAGCTCAGAACCACTTCGTGTGGAGTCCCAGCCCTCACAGCACGAGCAGTTACTGTCACCCACAGAAAGAGACACTGAGCAAGTCTCCAGCTGGAGCTGCGTCATCAGCTCGGAGCTGCCACGAACCGTCATAAGCCAGCCACGAGGGATGGTTCCAGCTCCTGATAGGGAACAGGCTGCACACAGCCATGAGATCAGCTCGGGCCTGAGAACCCTCTGCTTCAAAGTCTCTCCAGTGACGGTTTATTTAAAGACTCTCAGACAGGAGTTTTCCAACACGGGGAGCATTCACTGCCACAGCACAGACATATCCTAGCCCAACTGACAACAGCGTTTTCCAGCCAAGCTGCAGCAACATCCTAAGTCATTTAGAAACTGGTTTCCAAGATGAGTGTACCATCACCCCACATCACAGGCAGGAACAGAGGCCCGTGCTCAGCTAGAGGAACCCACTCCCAGCACAAAATACCAGCCTGCTCAGCGGCGAAGGAGGGCTGAAAAAAAGCCAACAGCCAGCACAAGGGAGACCCCCGCAAGCTACCTTTGGTCCTGCAGATTTCTATGAGGTTCACCACATTCTCATGTTTGAGCAGCTGGAGGATTTTAATCTCTCGCAAGGCTGTGATGGGGAACTGGAAAGGAGAAAGAGAGGACAGGGATTAGAGGCGCAAGAGACCAGGCCACGCTGCCTAGAGATTAGGAGAAATGTAACCACAGCAGCTTGGCAGGCAACCTGCTTGAGCAGCGCCACAACAAGTCACTGAAAGGCAATCAGAGCTTTAAAATATAACACCAACAGTAGGATTGTCAAAATTTACTCACCATCAGGCCACCATTGGTGAGGGAGATTCTGCCACGAGACAGAGGTGTTTGCATGGTGTGGAGATGGGCATGCAGACACCCCTCCCTCCTCTCCTCACTTTGCACATTCATAACAGGACATGGTAGAGCCCGACTTGAGCTGCAGAGCAGCCTCCCTGGCTGCTGCCCATGGTGTTTAAGATGTTAACTCTCTCCCCAGCTCGCCCCAACTCTGCACACCCCTGAGCATGTGCCTTTCATGTACTACCCAGTTCTTCCACAAACGACAGCCAGCGTGGAGCCCTGTGTTGGGGGTCACAGGGTTTTGCACAGGAGGAAGAACACACGGGCAGTGTCACCTCCCAGGCGTGGGCAGCATCACCTCCCAGCAGCCATCCAGCACAGCCCAGTGACCACACAGCTACTGCACTGCACTGCTGTCACATGCCTTTGTAGCCAAGAAGGTGATAATGGGCCGCACACGTTAGCAGGGCAACCACAATACCCAACATGATATGACAGTATCAGTAGTAAAGGAAAAGGCCACAGCGCTGCGATCCTGTCCACACCCATACAGGTTCAAGATCTGGCATGTTACACCAGTAAACATTGTTAAAGAACAGAGTGAAAAAGCATTTCTGCTGTCCCAAACCCCCTCATCCAGGCCTTCCCAAACACAGCCCAGCCATGCTCCCACACTTACCCCCTCCTTCTCATTTTCCATCAACACTTTCTTCAGTGCTACTTTCTTGCCTGTCTGACGATGTTTGGCTTTGAAAACTTCCCTGTAAAAAACAGAAAGAAATTTGTGAGCAGCACAAGGAAGAAAGGAAGGAGCCAGATGCTCCCGACCAGGAACAAGACCAAACAAGACACACTAGAGCACCATACAGACAGCTCTGTGCGGAGCCACCATCGGCCCCAGCCACATCCCCGTTGGACCAAAGACCCTCAGGACTGGCTGAGCCAACCCAGAGCCCCGAGCTCCCACAGCTCCACAAGGATTTTGGGCAAAGTTGCACGTTTTGGGCAGTTGCAGGTCCCCACCCCGACTGTCTCCAGGGTAAACTCTCCTCTGCCAGAGCCTGGGACAGAGCAGGGCCTCGGGGTGGGCAAAAGAGAGCTCAGGGGC